TGGAGCCAGCAGCTAGCAGACGTAGTGATATTGCAGGTTTTTGACACTTCTGGGTTGGCTTCATTTTTCAGGGCCGGTTACTATGTCCATCTTTTATACAGTCTATGTTTTTGACTGAAATTTCTGCACTCTCTGGATTTGGTGGAGCAGCACGCTACGGAGTTTCCCTCTGGCAGCTGCGGTAGACGACCCGGTGGACACGGCGACGGCTCCCTGTTAGCTGGTAGCAAGCGGATCCCACAGACTGTGAAAGCGCCTCAGACATCCAGAAAGAGACTTAATTCTCCCCCCTCCCTGTCGCAGATTACTGTCACTCATGCCTGGACTGTTTCTGTGGAACTGACAGGATTTGTTGGGTTAAGTACGCTAACCGATATAATTGTTAACACACAAAAAAAACTGAACAAGGACAAATGTAAACTGTGATTATCACCTATTGCAACTGTGAGAAATAACTATACAGACTGTGGTTGGCATAACGTATTTGTGAATTGCACTTACTTTGTGAGTTTATTCATAACCTATTGAGTAGTGCTTTCATTTTGTATCTACAAGAGAAGTAGTTTTGCTGCATATGCCATTTCTCATTTTCTTCCTGTGTTTTTGGTGAGTGTTGTCAGCCAAAAATTCCTCCTTGAAGAGAGTGATTTAACGGAGCATGCTGCTTAATGTTTATGTCTTCTCACAGTATAATGCTATTCTGCATGGTTGAGTGAACCCAAGTTACAGTTATTGATATCTGAATCACACTAAATGTTGGCTAATATTTGAGCCTTTAAGACAAAAATGAACAACACAATGGCAATCCATCCTGACTTAGTTAACCTTGACCTTGACACTGACTTTATGCCCCTCCCACCCTGAGCTACAGTCAGTCAGCCGACTGCTGACCTTGAACTGAAAGTGAAGAGTCTGCAAGCTGAGGTGGAGACACTTCAGATGTGTCTGCATGACTCTCTTGAGCTACAGAGAAGTATCTTACAGAGCTGGGACTGAAACAACAAGGTAGGCCTCAAAGCTCCCCATGCCCAGCCCACTAATTTTGTCCCAGTGGCTGCTTCAATGCCCTACGCACCAGGTCCTTCTGACAAGAGACCTCAATATTCTGACATGGTGACGCCCGATCACACTCCATCTACTAAATCTGCTTCAGGCCTTCAGTCAGATTCTCTTGAAATCAGCAATGCCACAAGAGTTTTGGCAGCTGCACTGCATCAAGCAAAACCTGAGTCTCCTGTGTTTGCTGGAAATGGTGTGATTCATCCAGAAGACTGGTTACAGTCCATTGATACATACAGGTCTTTCCTAGAATTAACAGATGTTCAGTTCCTCAGAGAACTGCCACGATTCCTAGCTAAAGAACCAAGGAAGTGGTTCAGCGTGCTCAGCACTCATATTTGTACTTGGACTAACTTCTGTGAACTATTCAGGATGGTGTTCCTGCCCACTGACAATCAGGAGTGTATCATGAGAGGTATCCTGGACCACATCCAGAGACCCGAGGAGCCCCTCCCCACTTTTGTTCCCATATGCTCAGT